ACAAAAAGGGTAATGAAACTTCTCAAATAAAAAGAATGCAGAAACATTTAGAGCAATATTTTTCCTCTTGTTCTTCAACATACATTTCAACTACAGATTTACAATTACAAATCTCGTTATTCATCGATTGGGTTCTTATACAATCGTTCAATCTCTCTTACCGGATGCCCGAACTCTGACGTCTCGTGCGACGAGCTCCTCCCACACCCACCTTCTGGAGTCTTTCTGACCGTTCTTCGACACACGCGTGCTAGACAAGGCTTACACGTGCACGAGTGGGCCCGACATCTGTTGGCTACATTTTTTGGGGTCAACAAATAATAATAATAATAAATGAAAAGAAAAAATAAATGAGGCAAGGGACCAGCCCGCCTCACCCCAAACTCGTCTCGTCCTGCTTTAATCAGGAATGGGGATGGGATAAAGTAACAAAAATACCCAACAGGAGGAGGTGGAAACAGCCTACCAATCTCATACCCAACAAGATGATCGCAAAGGAGTTCAGCATCCATATCCGTATCCGTCTCCATCTATTACTTCTTCATTGTTGTATAATAATGTTGTATGTACGCGAGGTTAAAGCTTACCTATAGAGAATCGTTTATATCAACGCTCATTTTTTCATAAATTCCGCCTTGGCACCTCAGGCGATCATTGATTTTTCCTCCCCTCGTAACATTTTCTTGAAGCCCAACGTCTAGGCAGTGCCTTTTCGAACCTTATTTTTATATTATTTAAGCACAACCAAATGTGATTTTTTTGAAACTAGGTAGAGTACAACAAAACATGCTGTTAGTATTGTCAACTAAATTAAACAATCTCCGTATGTTGTGTATTAAAGTAATTTCCCTACAATATTTCACGCATGACATGAAACCTGTTCACATTAGAGAGCTTACACAGGAACATAGCATATATACATGGAATGTTCAAGTTTCCTATCCCTTTGTCAAATTTTCTAACCGGCGATCTAATCCTCTTTAGAATTTTATAGCATTGGACAAACAATATTTCCCATAATTTGTTAAATTTCATAATAGAAAAAGCACAAGATCATAACGAATATGAAAATAAGTGTCATCCCCAAAACCGGTATATGCTAAAACACGAAATAACACAGCATATGACCATTGCAGTTAAAGAAG